AGAGAGAGAGAGAGAGAGGTAGCGGCGGGTATCCCACGTGGCAGCAGATCTGGAACTGCACGTAATTACTTACTAGTAAGTCGGGACTTCAGGTCCTTCATCTATCATCTTCGTCAATGACGTGTTCCAGCTTAGAGAAGCACAAATTCACATGCCCACGGGAGTGGGAGGGAGAGTGGGAGGGGTAGAGGAGGGAAGGCGGGGCAGTCGTTGCTTGTGAGGGGACAAACAGACAGAGAGAAGAGAAGGCGCAGAGAGCAGGCAAAAGAAATGCCCCTCCTCGCAGGTTGTGAGCGGCGTAAGAGATAAGAAGCTTGCGCAGAGAAAGAGGGATCTCCTGCTGTGAGACAGCAGAATAAGATACGCTTGTTTGACTCGTTTCATTGAAGATTTCACGAGCTGAATTCCGCTCGATCGGGGGCTGTCTCTCATCTCTTGTGTCTATCCTCTTCATGTCTGTTCGTCTTTGGATGTCATCCAGCGTCTGGTGCTTACAGCTTGACACCATGCATGCATGGTTCGTGGCTCTGAAGAGAAGATCCGAACAGTGGTTAAGTTGGGGTTGCTGTCAGAAACAGCCCCTTTTTCACCCTACTCCTCTTCTCTTTCCTCCTCCCCTCTTTCTTCTTCGTCTTATATATATGTACCTACTCCTCTTCTCTTTCCTCCTCCCCTCTTTCTTCTTCGTCTTATGTATATGTATCTACTCCTCTTCTCTTTCCTCCTCCCTTCTTTCTTCTTCTTCTTATATATAAATGTATATATATGTATATATATTTTTTGTGAAAGGTGGAGAGATATCTCTAGTAAGCGAAAAAGCAACACGTTGCAAGCGAATGAACGAACGAGAGAGAGAGAGAGAGAGAGAGAGAGAGAGAGAGAGAGAGAGAGAGAGAGAGAGAGAGAGAGAGAGAGAGAGAGAGAGAGAGGAGATGGAGTCCGACGAGAATGGGCCCAGTCTTTGAGCGACGTCTCTCGTACGTGTGATTAAGAAGTATAGCCTTGGAAAGCTGGTGGCCTGAGGGAACGAGTGCGACACCGGTGGCTAGCGAGGGCGATCATTACAACACTGGTGGCTTGCGTCTTCCCCCGAACACAACGCAGCCTGGTGATGAATGAATACAAGCTATTTTTCCGGTCTGATACCATCTGCATGAGGGTGCGTTGTGTTCTGGAGAAGACGATCGAGGGATTGGCTGCAGCCTGAACGTAGATAGCGTCGTGTAATCCTCTTCCATGGAATTGCGGCGGATCTTGATCACATTCTTAATGAGTCGGCCACGTGATCTTGATCAGATTCTTAATGAGTCGGCCACGCGGCTCGCATCGTATCCGCTTAATGAAACCCGATTGGACGGGG